ACACAGGGGTGGCATTGCTGCTGTCACACAGGGCTGCTCAGTCTCCTTCTGCAGAGTATTTGCTGTAATCCCGTTTTATAAATCCAGCCTTGGTCTTTGGCCTCCCTGGGCTCTGCTCTGCTGCTTCCCAAGTTAAACCCACTGATCTGACTGAGGCAGGAGCAGCCAGGGCATGCTTATTGCCATGGTGGGGCTGGGAGRAGAGATTTAGTAAATCATTGGACCAGTTTCCTTTGGAGAGGGTCTGTGTGAAAATATCAGAGCAATGCAGGATGGCCCCAGGTGTGATGGGGGAGAAGGGGTGGCAAGGAGGAGGTGAGCTTCACCCCTGGGTGCCTGCTCCATCACAGACAATCCTCCTTTGTGCTGGCCCCTTGGGCAGAGGGGATGCCAGCAGCAGGGATGGTCCCCTCCACTGGTGAGGCTGTCGTGGTCCCTGCCCGTGCCAGCCCTGGTGCTCCGAGTGTTCCCCACCCCACACTSACAGCAGCTCCAGGGCCCCAGAAGGTGCTGGGGGTGAGCCCTCGTGGGTGAGCCTTGTGTGCTCGGGGTGGGTGAGTGAGCTTGKGGGATCGGGCTGAGGAGCGAGGCCCTGGAGCACAGCCAGGACAAGCAGCAGCCGTGAGTGTGGAGCTGCCATCCTGGGGCAGATGGATGTTCACCCCCTCATTGCCCCTTTCCTGTCCTGCACAGCTTTTGGGAGGCAGGGCATGTGCCCAGCTGTGCCACCTGTGCTGCCCCCTGCCCATGCTGAGTCTGTGGTGTCCCCGAGGCTCCTTAGTCCSGGGCGATTGGCTGTGCTGAGCAGGGAGCCCTGATGGATGTGCCCGGGTGAGCAGCGAGGCAGGAGCAGCTCCATGCGAATACAAACCAGGCTGGCCCACGATAAGCCCATGCAGCACCTTCCCCCTCACACACCCCGCTGTCGGCATCTCCAGACACCAATCCCTTGCAAATCTCCTGCTGGCCTTTCATGACCTTCAGAGTCATTTCAATTCAGTGTTTTCAGCCTCTAAATCTCCTGTCCTCAGCCCTGGGTTACTTCTGGGGAAAGARCTGTGCTCCTTAAAGCGCCAGGGCAGTCCCTGCACCACAGCCTGCTGAAAATGYGCAGCTATTTCACTCTCATGCTTTATTTTTGGTAATTCCTCCAATTTTTATTGTTGTTTGAACCCCACAATTGACAACCCCAGGTCTGAAATCTGGAGAGGTTTTTGTGGCTGCCTGCCCTGTACCGTGCTGGGCTCTCGGGTGCACTGCCTGCATCCCAGGCATCTCGCAGTCCCTGCACGCAGCACACCTTGAGCCGGTCTGATTGATCTGTAACACTTGAAAAATAATGGTTTAATCATTATTAAGGATTAGAAATAATCCTTGAGCTGTATCGATCACAATAACATTATTCATGATGAACTCATTTGGCATTAATGGGGACGACCTGCAGCAGCGTGAGGCTCCGGGCAGGCTCTGGGGAGCCGTCAGTGGGGTTTGCAGGAGCAGCACCAAACCCTGCCCTAAAAAACAATCCCAGGTCCTGCTGTCCCAAATTGCCCCCTTGGGGAGCCCGTTCTTATTGACACAGTTTTGGAGAGTCCTGAATCCAGCAATCACCCATCCTGCCTTTCATGAAAGGAAACAAAACCTTGAAATCAGAGAACCAAGTGTAACAAACACTCTGAAAAGGAGATACTACCAAATGCAATTTAAAAAAAAAAAAAAAAGGACTTTGGAAATGGAGTGACTACGACCAAACATACAGAGATGAAATGAGGTGCAGTGAAAAGGAGTGAAACTTGCCAAAATTAGACTTCCTGAAATCCTGAAATTAGAGATTGAAATGAAACTAATGGACCAGGGAAGAAATTGATGAAATGAAATGCTAAGAAAAAAAGAAAAAAGAGAGAATTCCAAAACAAAGTGAAAACCATAAAAGCCAATGGGATGACATGAAGTGCAGTGAAAGGGACCAAAGCTTGCCGAATTGATCCCCATTGAAATCACAAGATTTCGTTTCCTTTCATGAAACATCAGCAGCCTGTCTCTAGGAAGGAATTGGATGGGCTCCCTTTAGCACCAGTCAGGGATGTGACAGGATGGGATTCCTCCCATGGGAGCCCCCACATCGCTCTGATCTGCCCCTGCACAGGGATGGAGGTGAGCAGAGGATCCYTGTGGCAGAGGAGGAATGGCTGGCTGCCCCCTTGGCCTCTCTCTCCTCCCAGTCACCATCTTGATCGTGAGACCAAAATATCTTTAGCAAGGAAAAAATGCTGCAGAAGCAACACCTGGGGGTCTCTGGGGACAATTCTCCTGGGTGGATGTCCAGTGGTGGCCAGGAGCCAGCACACCAACCCGTCGTGAGCTCCCCCATCCTTGCAACATGCTATTTATCAAATAAGAACATCTGGATTTTTTTTAAACCTTTTTTTTTTAACCTTTTTTTTGACTTTGACAAATTGACATTTTCCAGAGGAAAAATATTTTCTGTCGAAGCGTCATTCCTGGGTGTAGCCGTCCCTTACTGCACCATTTGCAGCCCTCCAGGCACTTCACACAAGGCGATGAATAGTTAAAGATGTCCATAAATCTTAGCCCAGCCCATAATAAGCAAACACACTCTTATCAAGTATAGAAAAATGCATATTTCATCACCACCGCCTTAAATGCGACTCAGAATAAATGCTTGTCTTTAATCAGCCATCTCAGTATATAAACACAGCACAAAAGCTTGGGGGATGAGGTACAGAATTGGGCCRCGGATTTTCCAGGCAGCTCCTGGGGGCTGGGATGTGGCTGTGCAGGTGAAACCATGAAAATCTGCCCTGAAAATTCACAAATTTGGCTTCTCTGTCCAGCCAYGTGTTGTTTCCCATTCCCTTCCCTCTGCCACTGGAGCCATAAGRATTTTGCTTCCATGTTTAGCTGATAGCTGATCTTTCCCCTTGGATGCCAGCCACTGACAGCAAACACTTTGATTTGGAAATCAAGATTAAGAGAAAGAGAAAAGATTAAATAGGAAAGTTTCGACCAGTACGTGCCGAGATTACGCGGTGATGGATTCGTGTTTCCCTGCATCTGATAAGAACAAGCTGCATTCTCAGGCTGGGGAGGGCCAGATCTGTGATGTTTTTCACCTTGCTTTTGAGTGCCTCACRGAAATACAGCATCTGCTGCCATGGCCCTGCTCAAGCCACCCTGCCAAGGCTGGGGCTGCCACTCTCCTGCATGGGCAACAGGGACACCGTGGCATCTGGGGATTTCCTTTCCCCTGAGCATCCATTTGGAAAGGCTGAGACACTTTGCACCCCTGTGTGCTGATGGAATGCTGGAGAAACTGGTGACAGTGGGGACAGCAGCTGTGACCTGTGGCTGTGCCCAGGGCTTGTGTGTGTGCACGAGCTCTTACAAYCGGCCACTGTTCAGGCCCTGGGGAAATAATGTCCCAGCGATGTAGCTGGACTTCACTGCTGCCCCTGTGGGTTCCTGCCACATCCCTGATGAGCAGAGGAGTGCTTTTCATCCTGGGATTTGTGGTTCATGGCATGGAAATCATGTGTGCAGTAGCACCAAGGATTCTGTGTTTGCTATGTGTGTGGTGCTGCACAGGGGGTGATTTGGGGCTGGTGGTTAGCCCAAGATGTCACCCCATTGTCAGTGCTCCTTCCTCCTCCCAATTCAATGACTGGGCTCTCCTCTCTGTCCCCATGCTCAGGCTGCCAGTGTCACTTGCCTGAGCAGAGCACATCCATCCCCTTCCAGGGAAGTACATCTGCAGGGAAATGAGGAGCAGGTGAAGCAGGAGCCAGTGCTACAAGGCACATCTTTGCTTGCTATGGTTCTCAGTAACTCTCTAGGGAGCCCTCTGGGGCTGCACCAGCCTGGAAAGTCTCCTGGCCTGGAGCTGAGAGGTGGCAGTGTGTGTTCCCTGGGAGCCTGGTAAGGCTGATGGCTGGTGGGGAGCAGGCTGTGCAGAGTGCTGCAGGAGCAGACAGGAGCCCCGTGTCCCTGTGGGCAGGGACAGAGTCCAGCACCCAGGGGTCCGGGTGGCCCTCGGCTCTGCGGGCTGGCTCTGGGCTGGGACACTGGGCTGGGACACTGGGCTGTTTTCTGCTGGATTTTGGTGCTGTTGAGGTCGTACAGCCCTGGCAGGCAGCTCCCCGGGCGGCTGCCCACAAACCTGACTGCCTGGAGCAGATCAAGGGTTGGAGGGAAATGTGCTTGTTTTGCTCTTGGCTTTATTTGTTTAGTGATGCAGAGWGGATCCTGTGAAAAGCCTGGAGCTCTTGCCCTGTCTGTCCCCTTTGGTTCCCCAAAAGGCCAGATTGCAGCATCTTCCCGGCACTGCAGTACCCCAGGGGCTGCCCAGACTCCAGCCCTGCCCTGCTGCACCCTCTGTGCTGCTGAGGGCTTTCATGGATGAGCATCCAGTGAGGCTGTCCTGGTGCTGAGCATTGCCTCAACCTGCTTCTGGAAAAGTCTGGTCCCTCTGGTTACCCCACGGTGGGCGTGGACACATGCAGGGGTTAATCTAGGTGGGAACTCTGTGCACCTCTGGGCTCCAGCACTGGGGCATTTTGAGGGGAGTTTGAAGCATTTTTGAAGGGTCTGCCTTGCTCTGCACGGAGCTGGGGACTGTCAGTTTAGGGATTTGGGTTCAGCCTTTGCCCTGTACAACAAGAGCCTGCCCTSCTCCAGTGGGATGCTGACAGCTGCCAGGCTGCAGTGCCTCAGCCCTGGCTGAGTTCAAGGGGCAGTGGTTCCTCTGGAGATCCAGGAAAGGCAGGAGCAGGCAGGGAAACACTGACTCCCTGTTCCTGGAACACCTTTCCAGGGTGCTGCCTGCAGTCCCTCCTCCTGCCCCCTTGCCAGAGCTGCTGAGGAGTGGCAGGATGCTGCACAAACCCCCATGGGTTGCACCCACGGTCCTGGGCTGGTATGGGCAATGCCTGGATTCCCATTATTTTCCTAGGCTCATTTCTCCTCTCCCGCTTGCTTTGCAGAGACTTGCCAACGCAGCRGAGAAATTCCAGAAGGCTCATCACTGGCAGGACAACATCCGGGTAAGGCTCCGTGCACCCCAGCCGCTCCCACCCCTTCCCTC